AGGGTGGTAAATTGCTCTTTTGGGGCTCCCCCCCTCGCGCGGATTTCAATTTCCAGTAGGAAGCAGAACGCAGGACTGTAACATCGGAGACTTGAAACTGCAACTGACACAGGGAGCGGCAACCCTGATCCTCGCAGCCTGGTGGCCCCACAAGGGGGCCGGCGGATTGCTTAGGCGCCTCCGACTCCTTCCTTATTCCTCCCGCTTCCTCTTCCTCGCTCGAACTCATTCCACTCATACTGCCCACTCAAACTCATTCATCACACTCAGTCTCACTCACATTCAGACTCACTCGCACTCACACTCACTCACACTCAGACTCACTCAGAGTCACTCGCACTCAGACTCACTCATACACACACGCACTCATACTCATACTCAGCGGCTTTAGGACCCCACTGGGAAGCCGCCACGGGGAAGACTTTCGCCCGTTCGCGCCCAGATTGCGGGGATGCCTCAGGCGGCTTGCTTGTTTGGGTGTCCGCTATCCTCTGCTTCCAGAGCAGATTGTGAGGCTCTCTCGGGCGAGGCGCTGGTTTCAGCGCTCCCATGGGGGAGCCGCCGGGGTGTTCTCACAGGCCCGCTCGCGCTCGGAGTGTGGGAACGTCTCAGGCGGGCTGCCTGTTTGGGTGCCCAGCGTCCTCTGCGCTTGGAGCAGAGCGTGGAGATGTCTCAGGCGTCGCGCTGGTTTCAACATCCACGGGGGGCAGCCGCCAGGGTGTTCTCGCTCCCTCGCTCGCGCTCGGATCGTGGGGGCGCTTCGAGCGGTGTTCGCGCTGGGGTGCCCAGCATCGTGTGTGTGTGTGTGTGTATATGTGACGTGTGAGTGTGTGTGTGTGTGTGTTTCGGAGCAGCCTGCGAGGATGCCTCGGGCGAGGCGTTGTCTTCAGCACTCCAAGGGAGGAGCCACCAGGAAGTATTGCGCTCCCCCGTTCGCGGCCAGATTGTGGGGATGTCTCAGGCGGTGCGCCCCGTTGGTGGCCCAGGTCTCTCGCTCTCTCTCTCTCTTTATTTCCTTATTTCGCTCTTCTCGTCTCTCTTTCTCTCTTCTCGTCTCTCTTTTTTCCCCCCCCCCTCTCTCTCTCTTACGAGGCCTCTACGAGGACTATAAGAGGCCTCTTAGAGGCTTCTAAGAGGCCTCCCATAGGCTTCTAAGGGGCCTCTTCGAGGCTTCTACAAGGCCTCTCAGAAGACTCCAAATACGCATCTCAGGGGCTTCTAAGAGGCCTCTTAGAGGCTTCTAAGAGGCCTCTAAGAGGTTTAGAAGAGGGTTCTAGGAGGCCTCGTAAAGAGAGAGGGCGATAGAGAGAGAGAGAGAGAGAGATAGAGAGAGCCTGCCAGTCACCGCGATGCAGCAATCGCATCATGTGGGCACCCCAGGAAGGAGCCCGCAAGGAGGGGTTGGCACTTGCCAGGGAGGAGGAGGAGGGAGGAGGAAGGACGGATGAAGAGGGAGAAGGAGGAGGAGGAATGATGAGCACGCAGGTGGACGTGGAAGGATGGCCGCCAGGGAGGAGGAGGAGGACGGACGGCTTAGGACAGAAGAGGACGCAGGAGACGAAGGAATAAGTTTTACCTTGTCCGCCTTATCTCTTCTGTTCTTCCGCCTGCTCCTTCTCAGGTCATTCATACTCAGACCCACTCGCACTCATAGTCTCACTCAGAGTCTCTCGTAATGCAGCCCAGACAATCTTAGACTACTCGCGCTCAGATGCACTCACACTAAGCTTAGTCATATTCACACTCGGGCACGTCGACTCACTCACACTGAGACTCACTCACACTCAGACTCGCTCGCACTCAGACTCACCCGCCCGCAGGCTCATATTCAGCCCACTTATATCCAGACGCCCTCGTACCCAGACGCGAAAGGTGCCAGGACACGAACTATGGGGATCTTCGCGTCGAGTGATGTCTCTCTGCGCACACATTGATGAGCCTGTTGTCAAATTCTTCGCTTAGCCCCACTCCTGTAATGTGCCTGCCAGAACGGATTCCTCGAGCTGATTGGAAATCACAGAAGGGTGATCAAGGCATACTTGACGAGCATCGGGTACTGAGCTGGTGTTAGCGGTTCCAAGCGCGGGTGCCGTCGAGCGGTTGGGCGCAAGAAACAGTTGGATCATATTCAGGATTGCATCTCGTGTCACGCGCTGCGAATCTGTCCGAGCAGGTCTGCCTCTCTGATGCTCCCTCTTCTCGTCCTCATCCCTCCTTCCTCCTGCTCATCCTGGGTCACCTCAGCCTTGTCTTTCCCTCCTCATCTTTCTACTTATTTAGGATCAAGTTATTCCCCAATCAGTGCTTGCACTGAAGGGGTCCTGGCGGAAATTGAAAGATTTGGCGAACATTTCCCGCCGATGTTGGTGGCCGGCTGGGTTCCCGGGTTCCCGATTCCGGGTTCCAGGGGCTCCTGGTTTTTAATTCCAGGCCGATTTCGGTGGGCTCCAGGTTCCCAGGTTCCAGGTCGATCTCGTCATCGATCAGATCATCCTCTGATTGGGGCTCTCACTTGGTGCAGTTGATTTGCGGAGCAGGTTTGGGCTGCCCGCTGACTGCGGCGGCCGCTGCCCGGCAGCTGTGAGCCGAGAGGCGGCTGCTGCACGCGGGTTGTCCGCACGGGGCCGCCCACTGCGAGGGGTGCCTCCCGGGGGACGGGGCTCAGCTGCTCGGCCACGCATCGCCGCGCGGCAGTGCGTGCGCGCGCCCGCGCCGCCTCTGCTCCGTGGACTGAAGTCGGGCGTGTCCCTCTACAGGACGAATATTCCGAAATAGTCAAACCATAATATGGGGACCATTAAAAAAAAAACCATTTTTGAGTATTTGGGGAGTTTTTCTTTGGGGGGGATTAACTCTTCCTCCAAAATCCCCCTGTAGGGGGACAGGCCCGACTTAACCGTAGACCCGCGAGCGGTGTGTTAGTTAACGGCGAAGTAGGACAACCAATTGCAGGAAAGCGTGGTTCGTGGCCAGGCCACTTGTGGGCACGCGTGGTCCGTGTTGTCCCACAGCTCGCTGCTGCCCTTCTCGCTCCACATATTCGCATATTTGGAATGTAGAAAACGGTGTTGCGCGATTTCTACCATTTCTTCTGCGCGAGCTCGGCGTCACAAAAGTCGCATTCCCAACATCGCCGTTAACCAACATCGCCGTTAGCGCGGCCTTGGTACTGGGCCGCTCCAGCTGTCCAGAAGAACAAGAGCGTCGAAGAAGAACAACTGCATAAACATTCACTTTCGACGGCCCGCGCTGATTTCTTGGATCCGCGCTGGTGCCCCCTGGCGGCGCCGCTCTTCCGGCGCCGACCTTGACGTGCTCCGCGCGCCACGGAGGGGTTTCTAGTCCAGGTCCAAGAAATCCGCGCGGACCTCCAAAAGTTGTTCCAGAGTGGGACAACATAATTTGCAGCGATAGCGGTGGTCAGCTTCCGTCGCCAGACACGCGCCCGGCCTATCAGCAGGGGCGTGGAGAGGGCCAAGGGCGCGGCTCTGGGCCCTTATAGCTCCCTTAGCACAACCCTCGAGCTCGAGCCGCCCCGAGCTCGACCTGGCTCGACTCGGGCCCATGCCCAGAGCACCGAAGGATTGGCTCATGGATTCAGCCTGCATGGCCGCGAGGGTTGTGCTAAGGGGAGGCCGCGCGGCCGCGTCCCGGCCGAGCGAGCCTCCAGGCCCCCCCCGCGGTTTTCTGCGTGGAGGTGGCAGCTCTCCTGCTGAGCTCGGCGCCTGGGCCCGAGCAGATCTGTGGAGCACCACGGCCACCCCCGCAGGTGGGCCGGCGGTGTTCTTCGCAATGGCGTGGCAGCTTTCGGCACTGCAGGTGGGACAAGTCCGTGGCCAAGCCGATTGCGGGAACGCGCGGCCCGTGCTTTCCTACAACTCGCTGTGCCGGTCTCGTTCGACACACCGGCATCATTGGCATGTACGAGCACGTGGTTCGTAGTATCCTGCATTTTTTCAGAGCGCGCCCGGTGTCATGAAAATCATATTCCCTACCAGGCCGTTCACTTACATTGCCGTTGGCCCGGCCTTGGTACCTGCCACGCAAGTGGCACAGCTCCGCCACAAATCAGCCAGCTCCAACACTTCCAAACCGAAGGAACTGTCCGCCGCGAGCCTGCACGCATGCACGGCTCGGATTTCTTGCCACGCCCGGGCCGGCGCCAGCAGCAGGCAGCAACCGAATCGTGGCTCGTCCACCACAGTTTCACGGTGGTTCTCGATTCTCCCTTCCCTTTCCACCACAAAAATCTTTGCGGCTTGGGTGGGCTGCCCAGCGCGGGGCGGCGTGGATGTTCACCGCCTACCAAACCAACCCAACCCAACCCGAAGGCCCCGATTTGCCCTCCATTTCCATTTTGGGGGGGTGGGGAACGCTGAAAAGAAGGCTTGGGCGGTGTAGCCGACCCCTGCGTCTTTGAGGTTCTCGAATAAGAGACAGAAAAAAAAAAAACCGCAGAAGGCAAAACACACACACACACAAAACGAAACATGCGGAGCCAAACGAAGCAGAAGGCGAGCATGTAAACAAACACTGGAAAAACACAGAAAAGGTGGAAACATGAAAACATGAGTGAAAAACAAAGCGAAACAACCGAACACACATAACATAATGTGTGTCGCATGTTTAGTTGATATGTTTTGTTTTGTTGTTGTATTGTGTTTTACATGTTGGTCCCCCCCGCCTTTTTCGCCTTGGTCTGCTGTTCCCTTCGTTTCTGATTGGTTGTTCCCCTGTTTGGTTCGCATGGTTCTGCGATCTGCTTTTCAACATTTGTTCTGCTTCTGTTTCGGCTGTTTGCGTTCTGCTTTCGCATGCTGTTTCTCTTGTTCTGCTTTTTGCTTGTTCTGCCTTTCCGTATTTTTCGCATGTGCCGTTTTTGTCGCCGTTTTCTGCCTTGTCGGATTTGCCGTTGTCGTGTTGTTTCGTGTTTGTTGGCCGTTTCTGTTTTTTCGCGGCGAATTTGAAGGCCTATGCGGCACTCGGCCAGGATCGCCGCTATGCCGCGCTTGCCCCGTGCACGCGACGCTGCGAGATGCGGCGAGCTCAGCGGCGATTTCGTCTCCGTCCCCGTGAAGGTATTACAGGAAGTTCGGGCTGCCTGGCCGCCGCTACGCGTGGTGGCCCTGCGCGCATGGGCTCGCGAAGGACGTCTCGTCTGGGCAGATTGGTGGAAGGGCGGGGGGGCGGCGCGGGTGCCCGCGCGAGGTCGGGGAGCGGAGCCGCGGCGTCCCCCGCCGACGTTTCGCCCTTTCACCGTGCCTCCCAGATGCGTCGCCGCGCAGGATGCGCGCGCGGCGGCTTTCTACGGGCGCGCGCGGGACGTCGATGTACGCAATTGCCGCGAGTCTGTTTAGTTGCAGTCGATGCGCGGGCGCTTCGGCGATCATGCGGTTGAGGGCTTCCTGACCTTGTCCGCTCTCGCGGCGGCGCCCAGTGCCTGGCGCGATTTCGCGGCGGAGCAGGGCGCCCGCGCCGAGTCATGGGCCGCGGGCGACTCTGCAGACGCAGCGACAAAGGCCATGCCTTAGATCGTGTACTTCGGGGGGGGCCGCGTTCGACCTGCCGTTCCTGCGGGCGCTGCGCTCGGAGGCGCACGCCGCGGCGGTGGGGCTCTTCCAGGGCCCGCAGTTCGATCAGCTGGGGGCTTTGAAAATGAAATCTTTCGCTCGGCGAGGGGCGCAGTCGGGCGGGGGGCAGGCTCTGCGAAGCTTTGCCCAGACCCTCGCGGAGCCAGCCGCGCCGCCCGACCGCCCTCGCATCGCGGCGCCCAGGCTCATCTTCGAAAGGGGATGTTCGGCGACCGCCCGAGCCCGAATGCGGCGCGGCTCGCGCGCGCGCAGATGGGAATGGAGGACAGTGCTCTGGCCGATATCCAGAGCTGCGTCATCGCGCCTGGCGGCCGCGTGCACGGGCGCGCGTCTACGACGGCCTCGCGTTCCACGTGCCAGGTGCAGCCGCGGCGGCGCTGATGGGGGAGCTGACAGAGTTCGATGTCCGCCCGGGTCTGTCGGTGAAAGTGCGCGCCTGCAGCGCTTCCGTTGGCGCGGGCGCGAAGCGGCGGAGGCCGGGAAGTGAGGCTGCGGTCGCGGCGCCATGGCAGTTCGCCGCGCCCGCGACGCCATTGCGCGCTTTACAGAGACTGCGCCGAATGCGGGGCGCCAGGCCGCGGGCGGCGCGGGCGCGAGCGAGGCGTCGGCGCTCTCAGCTGATTTGAAGAAGGCGCGGGCGCTTGGGCGGGGAGAGGGGCGCGTGGATTGACGTTGCAATTCCATCGCCGCTGCAGCGCGTGAGGGCGGGGCTTGCAGTCGGCACCCAGAGGCGATCGCGCGTCGCTTGCCGAGGCGCGCCGACCATTCTTAAGCCGCTGCCTTCGCTTCAGCCGCGCCATCGCCATTCCGGTCGTCGACCTCTCGTCGCCCGCAGTTGCTGCTGCCACGCGTTGCTTTCTTGATTCGCAGACGCCGGCGCATTCCTCGCGCCCGTCGCAGCTGAACTCTGCGGCCCGCTCGCCATTGCGCGTCGCCTCGCCGTCGGGAGGGCGGGGGCGACGACGGGGGGCGCGCGGCCGCGCTGGCGCCCCGCCATCGTGGCGACCGCATCGTTATTGAATCGCTTCGCTCATTCTGCCAGCCCGCGGGGCCTCCTGGGGGCTTCTCAGGGCTTAGAGGCCTCTCGGGGGCCTCCTAGAGCCTCTTGGAAGCATCTTTTCCGCGGCCATTTTGGCTGGAGAGGCGTGCCATCCCGCGCGGGTCAGCCCTCGGACGGGCGCGCGCGCGGCGGGGGCCGCGCGCCCGCAGCTGCGCCCTCGTGGCGCGCGGCGGCGGCGGGCGCAGTGGTGGCGGGCGTGTCTGCGCGGTCCGCCACGGTGCCCTTCTTCACGACCGTCGGGGCGCCGGGGGGGGCCGCGGAGCTCATGGCGCGCCTGCAGGCTGCGACGGGCGGGGCGGCCAGGCAGGAGCAGCAGGCGCCGACCGAGGCCGCGGCGCAGGGGCAGTTTTCTGTGGCGCGCTCTGCGCTCGGAGCGCGAGCGCAGCAGTTTCTGGGCGCCGCGGCCGAGAGGGTGGCGCTTGCGGGTGGGCGCGCGCTCGCGGCTGGCCTCCAGCAGGCCCGCCAGCGCGGGCGCCGTCTTCCTCCAGTGGTCGCGCGGCGGCGCAGGGAGCTAGACGCGGCCAGCGCGCTGCTCAGGCACCCGAACGACGAGAAGGGGGCAATGTGGAGGACCTGCTGCGCCTCATCAAGGGGTGGCAGGCGCGCGCGGCGGAGCGCGCCGAGGGCGAGGGCTCGGTCGCTGCGACGGCGGCGCCACTCAGCAGCGGCCCTCCGACGCGGGCGAGTGCGACTGGGGGCGCTCCTCGGGGTTGGAGGCGAAGGTCGTGGAGGAGGAGGCCGCCAAGGAGGAGCACCAGGAGGCGGAGGTGACGGCGAGCGCTCGCGAGAGCAACCCCGCAACCGTGCGCGGCGGGGGAGGTGGCTCGGCTGGGCAGGAGCGCACGACGGCTAGCGCTCGCCACACGGCGGGCGCGGCCTTGGACGCGGAGCTCGACGACCTCGACGTCTTCTTCGACGGGCTGCTGGAGGAGCTCGGGGTGCTCGGTGGCCCGTCCACCGAGCAGCCGATGCGCGAGGAGGCGGCCCACGCGTCGCTGGGTACGAGGTTGGCGAACGAGGGCGTGGCCAAGGAGGAGGGCAAGGAGAGAGAAGGGAACGCCTCGACGGACATGGTCTGGGTCCCGAGGGCGCTCCCGCCTGACCCTGGAGAGGGCCACCTTTTCGGGGTCATGGGGCGAGCCATCGGGCCAGGAGCAGGAGGATGCAGCCACGCTCATCGCCGAATGGTGGAGGGGATGGAGGCTCTTGCAGGCTCGATGGCAGGCGCTCCAGGCGGAGCACGACGCGCTGATGGCCGAGCTCATTGCTGCGAGGGCCGCATGCGGGTGAGGCAGGCGGGCCAGTGCTTCGCGGGCGTGCAGTGCAGCGAGGGGTGCTGGGCCTCGGTTTCGGCGCATGCTGCAGGGCCACCAGGACAGGGCGGCGTCGCTGGACTGGGGGCGCGGAGTCGTTGGCGCCGAGAAGCTGCTGAGGTGCAAGGTGCTTGCGCCTTGGGGCCAGGCCGCGCGGGGGCGGCGTCGGCTGCGCGTTCTCCTGGGGCTCTCGGGGGTTCGCGAGGCTCGTGGGGGCCTGTCGTGCCTCGTGGCGGGATCCGCTCGGGGCGTTGGGGGAAAAAAAAGCCTCTTGTTGGGGCCTCTTCAGGGCCTCGTGGGGCTTCCTGGGGGCCTCTCAGGACCGAGGGCTCGATATGATGTTTCATGCTCCCTCTGGGGCCGCTCGTGGGGCGCTCTGGGGGCCCTCTTGGGCCGTCTTGGAGGCCTCTTGGGCCGTCTTGGGGGCCTTTGGGGGCCTCTTGGGCCCTGTTGGGGCGATCTCGGGGGCCTCTTGGGCCGTCTTGGGGCGTCGGGAAGCCGAAATGGTGGAAACGCCCGTCGGGAATGCTGATTTTTGCATCTTGGGGCCCTCTTGAGAGTGCTCTTGGAGGCCTCTTGGGGCGTCTGGGGGCCATCTCGGGCGTCTCGGAGCGACCTCGTGGCATCTCGGACCCTTGGTGTGCCATATTGGGGGCCTCTCGGGCGCTCTTGGCTCTTCTTGGGGCTCTCTCTTGGCCCTTCTTGGGGCTCTCGGGGGCGTCTCGGGGCCCCGTTGGCGCGCTCCCGGAGCGCTCTGGGGGCTTCTCGGGGAACCTTGCCGGGGCACTTTTCGCCCGGGGACACCTAGGGGCCGCCCCGCGCGCGCGAATTAGAAATACTGTGAACCCGCTACCGGAGATCTTAGCACGCCTCTGGACCGATGGGCCGGCGAATTCCACTCGTCGTCGTGCTGCTTGCGCTGCGTCTGTTCTGGCTCGAAGTCTGCGCGGCGTCGGGTCGCGCGCGCGTGCCTCCGCGCTCAGCGGTGGCGCCGCGGCCCGCGTCGGTCGCGCGCCCCTTCTCCCCCCGCGGAGGGCGGCGCCCCCGTCAACGACATAGCCCGCGAGTTCAAGGGCGCCATGGGCGCGCCGCGGAGCTGCCCGACGCTGGCAGAGACCTCCGGCGCGCCGCCAGGCATTCCAGAGTCCACGACCCCGCCCCGTGCCCCGATAACCCCTCGACCAAGACATTGCTGTTCGCCCGACATTTTGAGGTCGTTTCGAAGTCGCGCACTTGCCCCGCGCGCAGTTCTGAGTGCGCGATGAAGACCAAGTGCCGCGGCGACGACTGCCGCTGGCTCTGGCGCGGGCCGCGATGCGATCTGGCTGCGCGCGGGGGCTGCGGCGACGCTGAGGTGGGCATGGCGAGCGGCGCGCTCCTGGGCGCAGCGAGAACTTCATCGCGGCTATCCCTGCTGGACGCCCTGGTTGCGCGGGTTCGGGAGCCCCCGCGCCTTGCAGTGATTCGCGAGGGCGAGGGGGATCGCGAAGTTGTCGACCGCTGGTTGGCCATCCTTCAGGACATCGCCATTGGGCGCATCCAGGGCGAGATCTCGCTGCCATCGCTGCATGATGACCGCGCGGAGAAGCGGGCCGATGGCCCGCGGCAAGAACGCCGCCGCGAAAAAGCCGCATGGGAAGCGCGTCGCCACCGAGCGCGGCTTCGCCGAGCGCGCTTCCATGAAGAAGCGCGGCGCCATGCGCTCCATCGCGAAGAGGGGGGGGCCTGCTCGTGGCACTGCAGGGAAGATGGGGGGAGCCGAGCCCCCCGCCATGAAGAAGGCGAGCCCCGCGAAGTCCATCATCCAGGCAGACGAGGCGCACCGCGAGGTCGCGCGCCTGATGTGTGACCGCTGCCCGAAACCTGAAAATCTGGTTGCGGGGCGTCGTTGCGCAGGGGTCGCCAGGAAATTTCATCTTCCGCGCGCTCGACCACCCGTCGGGCGCCCATGAATGGCGGCCGCGAGGCAGGGCAGGAAGGGCCAAGAGTTTCGACGTGGCCGGCCTTCGCAACGGCGCGACGTCGGCGACGGGTTCGCCGCGGGGGGGGGCGCGCTGGCGGCAGCGAAGCGCATCCGCGCCAGCGAGTGCTGGTCGATTCGCGTCTTGCGCTGCGAGGTGGTCGCGCATGCCCGTGGAGAAACGGCGAAGGCGCGAGGCTACAGCGCCGGCGCTATCGTGGACAGGCGGCCCGCGCTGAAGCGGCGGGTGAAGAAGCGCAACGGGGGCCAGCTGCCTCCCACCTCGGACAGGCGTGCGTGGGGCAGGTTTATCACGGAGTTCCAGTATCGGAAGGTCGCGCCCAAGGGGCGCGCGTTGAGCGGCGGCCGCGCGCACCCGGTGGCCAAGGAGGCATTGATGCAGCACGTGGCCGAAGTGTGCGCGCAGGGGAAGACGCGAGCTGACCTCGGCTTCGCGCCTGCGATGCGGTTTTCGGCCGCATTGCGTCTTGCGTGCGCTATCGAAAGAGAGACACCGACACATCGCATTTCCGCATCTTCTCGCCCCCCTCACCACCCTAGAGTCTAGAGCCAGCTCGAGAGAACGCGCACACATTTTTACATACATACATATATATATATATATATATATATCTGTGTATATGTATATATAGATGAATAGATATATGACAACAAACAACGCAGGGGGTGGTTATGCCCCCACCAAAAATTCGTATCTTGGGGTTGGGTTGTGGTGATCTGGTAGGTAGCCAGATGCCGGTCATTTGAGCCCCGCCCCCGCGGCGTTTTCTCGGACGGCGGGCTCGTAGCCCGTGCGCCTCCGAGGCGGGAATTTGTCCATGGCCATCGCCTGGAGATTGATTTTCGGGGACTCCTCGGCAGGCGGTGGCGATAGATATACTTGCCCCGCCCTGGTGCCCAGCTGTTCTTAGCCGCCGCCCACTGGGGCCCCAGGGCGTCGGTTCCCTCGGCGGTGGTCACAGTTATACCCCCGCCCCGCATGCGCCCGCGTTCGAAGGAGCAAAAAGGCCTGATGATGATTCGTTCCAAGATTTCTGGGTCTCCGTGCTGTCCCGCGTGGCCAGCGACGAGTGGCCGCGCACGACTGGCCAAAGGCCGCCGGAGAGCCCACCACTCCCGGAGCGCACCCTGAGGCATCCGTATCATGACGTGACTCTCGGATTGCATGTGGGCACCGAGCCCCGCCCGCAGCCGCTCGCGATCCGAGCGCGGGCACTGCGCCTGCTATCGGCCTCTGCTACGCGGCCCTGTTGGCCATCGCGTGCCTTCCGCTGGACAGCCGAGGCCACGCCCTCGGGCGCGTGGCGCCTTCCAGCATCGCCATCGCCCCAGCGCGCTCGTCCGCCTGGCGCCTTTCACCCTCCTCTCCTCTCCTCCTGCCCTCCCCATTCCACACTCGTCCATTTCTCTCATCTCCACCCTTCCCCCTTCCACCCTTTCCCCCTCCTCCCGTTTCTCTCGTTGCCTCCCCCCCCTCGTCCCGCCTCCTTTTGCAACCTCCTTGCCTTCCTCGCTCCTCTGCCACCCATCTGCCCTTCTCCTCCTGCTCAGACTGGCGAGCGTCAGGAACACGCAGCTGGGGTGGCCCCTGGGAACCCCAAGAGACGTCAGCGGCTCATGGGTGCCTCTGGGGCTCCGGGGCCTGGGGTGGGCCCGGCCAGGATTGGGTTTGTGGCACAGTTGGCGTCACCCTTTGGGGTCGCCCGAGGGAGTCCCCCGCTGGGCGTCTCCGACAGCGCGAGCGCGCGACCGCGCGCGCGCGCGTTTGCGTGCCCGTGCGCATGAACATGACTCCGAGGCGGGGGTTGTGCATAACCACCGCCCAGGGGTAGATTTTCGGGGGCCTCGGCAGGCAGTTGATGTGTACATGTTCGGGCCCTGGGGGGTAGGGCTATATAGATCCATATCCAGTGAGTGCCATGGTCCCTGCGGATTGGTCCCCCAAGCGACGCGGCCGTTGCGTTCGACGCAGCCCGCCGCCCTGGCAGCGCAAAGTCGGGCGGGAACGGCCGTCGCAGTTTTGGTTCCCCCTCGGTTTGGGTCAGGGGCTGCGGCCCACAGGCTGGAGGGGGCCAGACACTTCGGTAGGCAACACGTTTATGCTCTTCTTCCTCCCGGAGGTCCGCGTGCAGTGCTCACAGTGTCTGAAGCCCTTGGGCGATGGTGATGGACAAGCTCCCGCCTCGCACTCACAGATCTCTCCGCGCGCGCGCGCGGCCGCGTCAGAGCCCCCCTGCCGGCCGCTCACCCCGAAGCGGTCGCCCTCGTCTCGGGGGGGGGGTTGGTGCCATGGCGCCGTTGGGCTCCGCCCCCGAGCTGGAGGCGCTGCGGCGGCGGCCTGGCGACGGCGAGGGCGGCGGCGACGAGGACGACTGCGGGGACAAGGACGACGACTTCGGGCAGAGGCGACGACGACGGCCATGGAGACGACGGCGACGGGCACGAGCACGAGCACGGCGTCGGCGCGTGCACGAGGACGAGGGCGACAGCACCAGGCACGAGCGAGTGCGCCGACGATGGTGACGAGGACGACGGCGAGGGCCACCCCGACAGGGACTGCAACGTCGCCGTCGTCTCCGTCGCCTCCGCCGCCTCCGCTTCCGCCGTCGCCGGTCGTCACCGCCGCGGCCGCCGCCGCCGCGCCAGGCGCCGCGGGGCGCCGGCCTCCTCCTCTCCCCGCCCGGGCTCGTCGCGTCGCCGGCCTCGGCGAAGGCGTCCCCGCTGCGGCAAGGAGCGCGCCGCGAGCCGCCCCCGCCGCCGCGCTGTCGTCGCCGCCGCCGTCGCCGCCGCCGCGCGCCAGGCGCCACCGCCGCCGCCGCTTCCTCTGCCGCCACCGTGACCGCGTCGTCGTTGTCGTCGTCGTCGTCGTCGTTGTCGTCGACGTCGTCGTGGTCGTCGTGGTCGTCGTGGTCGTCGTGGTCGTCGTGGTCGTCGCGGTCGTCGTCGTCGTCGTCGTCGTCGTCGTCGTCTTCGTTGTCGTGGTCGTCGTCGTCGTCGCCTGCAGGCGCCCGCCTCTGCGGAGGCCCGGAGGAGAGAGGAGGGGGAAGGGGGATGGCGCCCGCAAGCACATGCTTTCGCAGCGGTTGGGGGAGTCCTGCTCCGGGCTCCTGCGTGGCGGGCAGCGTCAATTTGTTTGCGATGGACGGCACTTTCGAGGGCTCGAAGCGAGAGCTGAGGGATTGATTTAGAGTGTCGAGGGCGGAGGTATCATCCTAAGAGGGCTACACCATTCTGCCGACCCCCAGAAGAGGGGCGAAGTCCACGGTGAGGCCTTTGGGGCCTTTCCGGAGAACGGTTGGGAGCCTCTGGGGGGCTCTTTTGGGCCCTCTTAGGGCGTTTTGGGGGGGTTCTTGGCCTTCTGCTGGCGATCTCGGGGGCCCTTTGGGGCGGAGGGTTCGAAATTTGAGTTTCAGTTGCCCGTTGCCCCTCTTGGGCCGCTCGTGAGCCCTGTTTGGGCCCCTGTGGGCCGTCTTGTGGCTCTCTTGGGCCGTTTTGGGGCCCTCTCGGGGGCTGCTTTGGCTGTCTTGGAGCAATCTTGAGGGCTTCTTGAGCCGTCTTGGACGCTGTTTAGACCAAACATGCGAATCTGCTGAAATTGTACGTTTTCTCAGGTCCTCTCGGAGCCATCTTGAGGCGTCTTGGAGGCTTCTTGGGCCGTCTTGGGCCCATATTGGGTGTTTTTGAGGCCTCCTCGGCGTGTTCGAACCCAGCTTGAGCCCGCTTCGATGGCACCTTGTGCATCTTGGAGGCCACGGAGTTTTGATTTCGAGGCTTCGGAGGCCGCCGGAGGCCCCCGAAGTGCGTTGACGAGCTCGTCCCCCTTCCCCTCCCCCCTCGGAGGGGGAGAGGGGGGGGGGGGGACAGCCAATTGTCTGGCACGCCTTCTCACCCCCGGCAAGCGGGGATTGGCGGATTCTGACGCTTTTCGTTTTGTTGTTCGGCCTACCGGAGGCCTCTCGTCGCCACGGCTGGAGCGCCTGTGATTTTCTTATACTTCGCACCGCGCCCCAGGATAAGTTTGGGAACGCATTTGAAGGGGGAGGAGGAAGAAGGGGGGAGCAGGGGGAAGACGGTGAGGATGGAGAGAGGACGGGAAGGGAGGGATATCGAGGGAGGGAAGGACGACAGAGGGGGACGAGGGTAGGGGTGGGCAGGGTGGGACGCATGAGGATGATGAGAAAGATGAGACGGAGGTGGAGACGGATGATTGCAGTGATCCTAACGCGTTTTGCGGGGCATGAGTGGGTCGGGCCGCCTTAACCGTTTGGGCTCAAGGCGGAGCGGGGGAGCGGTCCGCGCGCGGCGCGGCTGTGGCAGCCGGCGCGGGGTGGGGCGGTTGACGCGACAGTCGCGTACCTCCGCCAGGGCCCCGCCGCTGCTGTGTGCCCGTGCTGCTCCTCGACTGGTCCAGCTTGCCCTTCGTACACGTGCCCACCGCCGCCAAGCGTGAGCTGCTCGGCGTGCCCCGCCGAGGGGGCGTCCTCGTGCCGCGCGTGCGCTGCTTGCGAGCGGCCGGTGGAGCCTGAGCCGTGCGATGCCTGGGGGGCCTTCGATCTCGGACGGCTGGGCGGCGCGCTCGGGGGCACCGTCGTGACGCTGCTGTTCGTGAAGCTGGTCTGCCATGGAGTGGGGCTGGCCGAGGTGCGCCGGGGACGACCTGGGTCACCAAAAGGGGGTTTCCGACCACGTGGCGCTATCGGCTCCAGAGTGCGTCGGCGCCACGTCGGCCGGCGTCACGTACACCGAGAGGCATGGCGTGGGCCGGGTGCGGCGTAGCGGCAGGTGGGATGACGTGCCCTACGATGTGGATCCAGCTGGGGTGTATCGGTTATGGCAAGAACCAACGGCGGCAGCAGAACATGTGTACCTTCGAAATGCAGAACTGCTCGCTGATCATCGCTACCGCACTGTGGCGGCCAAGGTCGAGACGTCCATGGATCGGGCCGTGGCGGCTGACGCCTGGGTGCTGCCCGTGATGCGCAGCGGAGCTCGCGGCGTGATCACCTGGGCCGCGTTGTCCGCTCGTGTACGCGAGGAGGACTTCTGCAGAGGCTGGCTCGTGACAGGGGCTCACAGATCGCTCTGGCGCATCGAGGTCATCAACAACGAGGGGATGAATGTCGATGGCCATGACGATCGTTTTCGGGCCGTCGCGAAGCTGGAGTCGACGCAATGGGGTGCGCGCGAGCACTTCCAATGCAGGCAGTTCGTGCGCCTGGGGCTGATCTCAGGTCAGTGCGACGATGCCAACTTGCAGGCTTGCGAGGCGATATTCCGCCACAGGCAGACGATTGAGTACTCGCACGTGGAAGAGGTGAGAGAGCGAAAAGGGGGGAACCAGAGCGGGAGGTTGTGGATCGATGAACAGACTCACCTTGCAGGCTCGGCTGGGATCTCGTGCAGCTCTCGACGGCGTGCCCCGACTTGCTACAGTTCGCGAAGAAGGAAGTGGAGCATGAGGCTGCCCTGGCGAAGAATTTCCGTGAACCTCGCGCAGAGAAGGGGGCTCTCCAGTTGGGCGCGAAAGATGGACAAGTCTGAGGGGGTATGGAGCGCCCCCTCCGTGGCTCCCAGTCGGCCGCCGATCGGGGTGCGCCTCCGCGCGGTCAATTCGCGCGATCTCCCCTTGGTCACGATGAGCCCTCTCGACGCGCGGCTCGCAATCCTCTACCTCTCTCACTTCCGCCGGTCGCTTCTGGTCGCGCTGCCGGTGGTGGATGTCTGTCTCGCGGGTGCCGTCAGCGGGTTCAACAGCGTCATGCTCTTCGACGTTCGGAGGGTTGTCGTGGATCTAAATTCGTTGCGTCTTTCTCCTGACGTTGCGCCGGGCGGAGAGGGTCAACTCAGTGGTGGGCATCTGTCGCGGACGCAGCATCGCATCATGGATCACGCGCGCGGCTCAGTTGGAGCGCTTGGGGCTCCACCGGCAGGCGTCGACACCTCAGGAGCTCCGCGGAGGCTGCGAGCGCGCGGCTTCTACGGTTCCGACGAGGACGTGAAGCTGGGGAACGACAATCCAGAGTTCTGCTCTCGCTGCCGTCCGCGGGTAGCCACGCGGCTCTTCTCGCAGACTTGCGAGGCGCAGGCGGGCGCAGGCGCGTCGCGGAGTTTGCGCGCGATAGTGTGCCACCTGCAGGACCGGCGCTGGAGAGGAGGAAGACGCGCGGCGCGAGGGCGCCCTATTCCGACCCAGCTCTTCGGCCACCGCGTGTCTGGAGCGATTTTGCATTTCGGCTTCGTTGTGGCGGTCTGCTGGATTGCGCTTGCGACCGCGGGCGTGAGTCCGGGGAGTTCTTTTGTGTGCCTAGAAAAGATCAACGATTGAGACTCGCGTGTGATTGTCGTGCCAGTAACGCTTGGTTCCGCGAGCCCGACAATGTCACGTCGCGCACTGGTGGGGCCCTCGGCAATCTCTTGGTCTGGGAGGACGACGCTTTGTATATATTTGAAGCTGATCTGTCCAATGCGTTTTACAATTTCCGGTTGCCCTTCGAGTTGCGGGATCTGTCTACCCTCCGCCGCGTTCGTGCTCGGGGTATCGGTTTGATTGGAATCAACGGTGAGCCAGTTCGGGAAAAGGGCCTGGGCGTGCCCGAGACTGCGCGCGTGCCCTATGGGGTGGACATGGGCACTGTGGCGGCGTCAACGCGTTCATGAGAGGTTAGTTGAGCGTTGTGGAGGCCACCCCGCCGAGCGGTTGCAGGATCGTCGCGTCATTCTTTCGTTGGCAGGTGCTTGGCATCTCGAGTATGTCGACAACGTCGTCGCTATCTCGGCTGTCGCCTCCAAGGTGCACCGCCTCGCGCCGGCCGTCGTCGGGGGGGTCAGGGAGGCAGGTTTGGTCGCGACCACGGACATCGACACGCCCGATGACGATCTTGCTCGGGATCGCGCTGCGTTGGGATGGGGCATCAGTTGCCGTGCGGCTGTCTTGAGGCCCACTCGGGCCCGTGTCTGGAGGGCCCGCCTCTGCGTGCGTGCCGCGCTGCGCCGCGGTCGTGTCTCTGGGAAGGTTCGAGAGGCTCGTTGGGCACATGGGGTTCATCATTTTGGTGCGCAAGGAGAGCCTCTCGGTCATCGACGCGCCGTTCGCATTCGCCCGAAGCTTCTACAATGAGGGGGCCTCGCCGTGGCCCAGCGCGTCGACGAGCTCGCCATCTGGGAGGGGATCTCGCCGCTGCTGTGGCGCAACCTCAAGGCCTCCAGGGGGCCGACGCTGTGCGCCGTGGACGCGTCTCCGATCGGTCTGGGGGTCTGCTCGTCGGCCATTTCCGTCGGGGAAGCTCGGGGCCTGGGGAGGCACTGCGAGCGCTGTCGTTTCTCTCGGGGTGCTCGTCTTCCCCCGCGTCTGCAGGCTGCCGCCGCTGCCGCCGTGTCCGACGACCCTGAGGTGCAGCGGCCGTCCGGGGTGCACGACAGTGGGCCCGGAGGTCTCTGGGGCATCGGCGGGGGCCCGCCTCGCGCAGGTACTGCCGCTGACGTTCTGGGTTCCGGGCTCGGTGACGCTCGCGAGAATGCGTTTCGTGAAGTGCCCCTGAAGCTGCTGCAGCGGGGCTGGAAGATCGCGGGTCGCTACAGGTGGAAGTTCGAGGGGCCGATGCCGATTTTCGACGGGCGGGCCATCCTGCGCGCCCCCCGACATGCCTTGAGGAGTGCTCGGAACTGCGGGCGGCGGATCGCCGTCTTGGGGGGCGCCCCTGCGGCCGCCCGTGCAGTTTCGAAGGGCCGCTTGGATTCCTGAGCGATGTTGAGGGTCACTCAGTCGGTCGCCGCTCTATGTCTGGCCATTTGGCGCGCGCTGCACTGCCGGTGGCCCCCCTCGGAGCGGGATGCGGCCGATGGCCCCCCGAGGGGGCTCGCCGCCCCCTCGGCGCCGCAGCCGCTTGTCTCTCTCGAAGCCCCACGAGTTGGAGTGGCTTCGTTCGGCTGGGTAGGCCCCGTCCGCCCCGCGGCCGCGGCTGGCGGCGATGCTGCTGCGGGCGACGCCCTCGTCCGGCTTCCCCTCGAGCGGGTTGGGTGGCCAGCGGCGATGGGCAGCCGGGCCCGCGCGCCGCCTGCTGGGGGCCCGTCTACGTCAACGGGGTTTCCTTCGCGGGCTGCTCCCAGCGCCGGGCCTTCGGCCGCCCCCCGCAGGGCGCCGCGCGCTCCGTCGCGGGCCCCCCCGCGGGGCGCCAGGCAGGCCCGGGCGATGGAGGCGGCGAGGCGGCGAGCCGCGGCGACTGCGGCCGACGGGATGACGGTCTGTCAGACGCACTCGGCCCTCCCCGCTATGTTGCGGCATTGCCGAGGTGATTTTGCTTCTTTCAAGCGCTGGCTGAAGCGGCAGGGCCGCCCCATGCCGAAGGGCGAGGTCGACGCAGACCCGGTGCTGGCGCAGTTCTCGGACGAGATGTACCTCGACGGGGCGCGTCTCAGCCCGGGGCAGCGCGTGCTCGCCGCGGCGCTGTGCCACCCGTCCTCTCTGAGCAAGGCGGGGGGCGCGCGGGCGCCGCGGGGCCGCCGCGCGGTCAGGGGCCGGCAACGTCTGGCGCCTGCGGGTTTCAGGATCGGGGCGCCGTGCACGAGGTGATGCGCATGATCGCGATGTGGATGTGGCCGCACGGCCTCTGGGAGGAGGGGCTCGTGACGCGGCTGACGTTCGAGATGTGCCGCCGCCCGAACGAGCCGTTCGCCCTCCGCGCGAAGGACCTGGTGCCCCCCGCGGCAGGGGCGCGGGCGGGCGGCAGCTGGTCGCTGACGCCGCATGCCCGCGAGCGCGGGGTCGCCTCCAAGACCGAGGAGTTCGACCAGGCTCAGCTCCTGGACCTCGAGCGGCAGGCGGGCCTCGGGCCGGCCCTTGCCGCCCTGCTGGAGGCGCGCTTCGGTGCCCAGTGGCGGCTGTCGGTGCTGAAGCGGCCTGCGGGCTCTGCCTCGGCTCCTCCTCTGTTCGCGATCAGCAGCGCGCAGGCGGGTCAGGCCGTCGAGAAGGCCGCGCAGGCGCTGGGGCTCCGGCGCCTGGGCGTCGTCCGCCGCTGCTAGCTTCGCCGCGGCGGCGCAAGCCGCGACGCGGCGACCGGCGCCAGGTTGCTGGGTCAGATCCGCCACCGCGACCGCTGGCGCGCCCACAGCAGCCTCCGCCGGTGCGAGAAGGGCGCGCGGCTCGGCGAGGTGCTCGAGCGTCTGACGCCCCCTCTGCGTGCCCACGCGCTGCGCTGCGCCGACATGCTCGCCGCGGTCGCGGCCGGGCGTCGCCGGCCCTTCGCGAGCCCCTGAGAATGCCGGTCTACGTTGAGATCTTCTCCGGCTCTGGCATGCTCGGGCGCGCTGCAGCGCGTGGGGGCCTGCAGGTGCTGTGGTGGGGCATCTCGCTCGGTGATGCTTATGACCCGACTAGGCAAGAACCAGAACTTGCTGATGGGCCGGCTGTCGGGCGGGCTCATCATCGGTTTCCACGTTGCGCTGCTGTGCCAGGCCTGCGCCTGCATCCGCGATCGTGGAGGAGGACCGCCACCGATGAGGAGCGACGCCTGGCCCTGGTGGCTGCCCAGCCTTCCGGCCGCCCTGCGGCACGAAGTGAAGTTTGCCAATGATCTCACGCGTTTCGCTGGCCGCCTGTGTCGTGAGGCTTTTCTTCGTCGGATCCCCTGGTCCCTGGAGGAATCCGCGTACTTCGCGTGGCCGTGTCATTCAATCGTTGCTCTTACTTGGCGGAAGAATGTGAGTACTGTGTACGCCGATTTCTCCATGTGGGCCGGGCCTTTCTAAAAAGTCCACCACGTTCGCCTCCTATTTGGTCGATCTCTCTGGGCTTGTTGCTCGTTGGTGTTTCGGCAGCCGCCGGATGCGTGCCCGTGCAGGCGAGGCCCATCAGCAGTTAGTTGGCAAACGTCAGGACGGTGCGTTTTGGACCAACGTTGCTGAACCATACCCAGCCCCTCTCTGCAGTTTCATTGCCAAACGGCTATTGGATGTTATTGTTGCGCGGACTGCTCAGAAATTTGACAGGTTCCTGTCTGTTGCTGAAGTCCCGGCGATGCCAGTTGGCACTCGTGCAAGTATGGCGCTTTCTAGCTTGA